CAAGGCCTGAAGTAGTAACTAAGTTGTGACCTGGCCATTCACCGAACACGTGCCCCCCCCCCCCCCCGCCCCCCCGCGGTTGCAGAGGTGAACGTCAAACATGCCTCCCCTGCTGCCGGGTAGACGTCCGCCCAGGGAGGGTGAGGAGCCACCACCTGGCTTTTACCTCCCTGGGGGCGCCACTACCCTCCCCTCCCATGGAAGGGTATAAGCGCTTGCCTCCTGGCTGACTCCAGCTAGCGGACAACGCCCTAGGGCGTTGTGTTTTCTGTGCTTGGGGTGCCCTCCAATTGCCCATGGTAGGACCAACTGGCTAGCGGATTCAAACTGAACCCTCCGGTTCATTGCACTCCGAATCACCGAGACTGTACCCACCATTCCCTGAACAAAGAGGGTGGAGGGAGTCCAGTCTGCGTCACTGAGGCGGGGACGTACCCCGGCTCAGCTTGTCGGCGAAAACACGTGCGTCTAAGGCCGCGTCTCGTAGCACGGTAGTGGCCCTGGCCAAGAGAGCCAGGCGACACTAAGGGGGATCGCATGTAGATGTGCGGTGGCCCACCAGTAAAAATGTCGCCTGGTAAGGGAGGCTGGTGCGTTCTGCCTCCAAGGTCTCCAGAGTGCTGGTCACGCATAATGTGCTCAAACAACTCTGCCCTCAGGGCTAGATGGGTCGTCTTCAAGTGGAAAGGACACCCATGGAATGCGGCTATCCCCCTTTGCCCGGTTTGCCAAATTCGTGGTACCGGGGTCTGGGGAAGGAGCCTTGGAATCCGGTTGGGGGCGTTTTGGTCTCATCCCACGCTATGGGGTCTGATCCCGAAACCACACCGACCGGGTAGCGTTTGGTCCAGTGGGAAGTGTTGCCTTATTTTATCCCCACTTGGGGGCCTTAAGCATTACCTCCTCCACGGCTGACCAACGCCGCCCATCAACACCGTTTGCATGCTCTGCGCCCCACTCCGCACTGCTTTGGATCCCGATGCCCATGATCCCATAAGCTTTGAAGCAACCTTAGGTGGTCGCTTTAGGATCAATGGTGGGGGTATCAACATCGTATCACTGGAATCGATGATACTCCGCCTCACCCCAAAAGCGTGGCTCACCGAGTCATACAGATGGATGACTCTGAGGGAACGCCCAGAGTACCGGCTGTATCCGACGCGAGCGAACTGCATCTCCTTTCGCTTTAATATGTGAGAGGGAGCGTGTTCGACTGTGCGTCTCATGACAGGGTCGGTTCCCTCTGGGGACGCCCGTGGGTCGGTAAGGAAGGAGTCAAAACCCACAGCGGGGACCGGACACAAGGAAAAACTCGTTACCATTGTACCGTTACCGCGTGACGAACCCTAGCTGGCTGAAAGTAGGAGGGGGTCAACGTGTGCCCTGCCTTGAAAGCCCTGCCCCGAGATCGGAGACTTGGCTGCCAGCACCCCGTTGGCATTCAGTGCCCGAGCCTGGGCCTCGGCCACCCCCCAAAATAGTGGGAGAGCCATGCCTGGGAACGGGGGTTCCCCGGGAGAGCCGTGCCTGGGAACGGGGGTTCCCCGGGAGAGCCGTGCCTGGGAACGGGGGTTCCCCGGGAGAGCCGTGCCTGGGAACGGGGGTTCCCCGGGAGAGCCGTGCCTGGGAACGGGGGTTCCCCTGGAGAGCCGTGCCTGGGAACGGGGGTTCCCCGGAAGAGACGTGTTTGAATGCAAACATGCTTTCGTGTCTCTTCCTGCTTGCCCACCGAGGGGACACAGTGGAGACAGCTCGCTCCGACTGAGTCTGATCTACCCGGCCTGCCAGGGACGCAATTGCCCCGACAGTCCTTCGACCAAAGCCCTCAACTCGGAGGCAAACTCGGCGCCATGCGAGGAAGGGTCCACGAAGAGACCCGCAACGGGCCCCATAGGAGGAAAGCCTCCAGGGGAACAGCCTCGCTGCAGCTGGTAAAATCGGGTAAAAACACCGCCTGAAAAAACAGACTGTGAGGATGCCCTCCGATCAGCGGAGGAGTCCGAGAAAATATCGGTACCTCCGCCGTCAAGCCTCTCACTCGACGTCCCGGTACATGAAGTACCGGTAGTCGAGCGTGAGGACTTTCCACTCATGCAAAACACGCAACTCACTTTAACCAATTTGTTTACTGGACACGCGACCTTGATGTGACGCGGTCAGTGTCAGCGATTTTGATGGCTCTGAAAGAAAATCTCAGGCCTCAGAACTCCAGTGAAAAAAACGCGCTTTCACGCAAAAAACCCCGAAACCCACACGTAGCCACGACAAAGCATCTCGGACGAGGAAACCGGAAGAAAAAGGCAGCGAGCCTTGGAGCTGTCATTACATCAATATATTGCTAAATACATTAAAAATGAAAGACATGCATGAGGGAGACGAATTACAGTTGTAAATGGTGCCGCCATGAAATCAACATGCGACTACGTAGTGGCGCCGGATTTTGATTTCTTTGCAGTGAAAAATACTACACACAAAGGGGAAAACGACACGAGGGTAAAAAAAGACAAGGAAAACTTATCCTACCAGCTACCATGTCGGATGCCGAGCAGCGGCAACAACCCAAGCTATAAATCCGGACAGGAAAAAAAGCAGGCAATCCAGCAGAGCTCGCTAGATTTCATCTCCACTCGAGGCGGAGAGAAATTAAGAGTGATGGACGGCTGCCTATGGCGTTGCCATGTGGCCTCGGTCACATGGGTTCGTGACGTAAGGGGTAAAAGAATCTTGAGGTCATGGGGCTTCCCCTGACCTAGATTCTATCTCTCTGTCACCGGCAGAATCGCTGATTAATGCCTACAGTTCAAAATAGTCATTTTGACTGACCGGAGTCTATGGTGGGTAATTGAACGTAGTGAATTGACAACACAATACAGAGGAGTTAGATGTAGTAGAATTCAACTGATATAGCACTGTGAATGAAATGACAACACAATACAGAGGAGTTAGATGTAGTAGAGTTCAACTGATATAGCACTGTGAATGAAATGACAACACAATACAGAGGAGTTAGATGTAGTAGAGTTCAACTGATATAGCACTGTGAATGAAATGACAACACAATACAGAGGAGTTAGATGTAATAGAGTTCACAGAACAACCACTGTTGGTGACCCACCGAGGTCATAAGTCGATCACTGGTGCAGACCCATTGAGCTCATCTACTACTGCTCTATGACAACAATTTAGTTTAGTTCAACTATCTGCATGTGTAATGTATGATATGTTTCAGTTAGACAAAGTATACTGACATCACAGTATCCATACATGGACAACTCACCTGAATGGTAGAAATCCACCTATCAACATATGTACAAATGCAGACCGATACCAGGGCACTGGTGGGATTTCACGAGGTATATTCTTTGTACGACAGGGAGCATCAAAACTAATTGCCCAATTCTTACCAAATATGCCACCAATCACAGTCAATGGATACCCAACTGAAAAGTAATATACAATCACAGTCAATGGATACTCAACTGAAAAGTAATATACAATCACAGTCAATGGATACCCAACTGAAAAGTAATATACAATCACAGTCAATGGATACCCAACTGAAAAGTAATATACAATCACAGTCAATGGATACCCAACTGAAAAGTAATATACAATCACAGTCAATGGATACCCAACTGAAAAGTAATACTGTGGAATTTTTGCTTGGAATCAATTTTCGCTATTTTCGCTGAAGGAATGATTCAGTGAAAAATAAATCTAGCGAATATAATCTTTTTCCTATATTTTAAATTAAACTTAAATCAGTAGAAATAAATTACATACAAAACACTCAAAAAGTCCTTTCAGCGAAAAATAGATTCTCTGTAGTTGGTTCACAGTTTGTTGAAAATGGTTTTTGAAGAAATGTACTAAAGCAAAAACAATAGCCAAACACCTAGTAAGTGAGTCTTCTTACCTAGTAGCCATATTATCATAAGCAGTAGTACAGTACTGAATGGCAGTGCTTGTGTGGAATTGTGGTACCAAGCAACAGAATTAATTATACTCCATATTACGAAGAAAGGAACTGAAACAAAAGTATAATTCATGTTAACAAAAGCACTTATCCAACTGTCATAAAAAAATAATATCCATCTACAAATACTAAAAAGACAATGTAAAATATTGTACAATTTGTTGACCAAGTTAAATTGTAAGATAATCACTGATTGAACGATAATTTGTTTTCAGAAATATGATTGATTTGTTAAGAAATTTCTGCATAACAACAGCGTCAACAAATGGACAGACACAAACAAGTCCCACTACTACAAGACAGCAAACATTGACATGTCATGGTATCAAAATACAAAGTACTGTTTACAGTACACAGAACACATTTGAAAGAGTGGTGTCTGACATACCCATTGTAGGGTTTCTAGGATGTGCCCCACGGCAGGGTTTCTAGGATGTGCCCCCACTGCAGGGTGTCCAGGATGTGCCCCCACTGCAGGGTGTCCAGGATGTGCCCCCACTGCAGGGTGTCCAGGATGTGCCCCCACTGCAGGGCTCCCAGGACGTACCCACTGCAGGGCTCCCAGGACGCACCCACTGCAGGGCTCCCAGGACGCACCCACTGCAGGGCTCCCAGGACGCACCCACTGCAGGGTTCCCTGAATGCACCCACTGCAGGGTTCCCTGAATGCGCCCATTGCAGGGTTCCCTGAATGCGCCCATTGCAGGGTTCCCTGAATGCGCCCATTGCAGGGTTCCCTGAATGCGCCCATTGCAGGGTTCCCTGAATGCGCCCATTGCAGGGTTCCCTGAATGCGCCCATTGCAGGGTTCCCTGAATGCGCCCATTGCAGGGTTCCCTGAATGCGCCCATTGCAGGGTTCCCTGAATGCGCCCATTGCAGGGTTCCCTGAATGCGCCCATTGCAGGGTTCCCTGAATGCGCCCATTGCAGGGTTCCCTGAATGCGCCCATTGCAGGGTTCCCTGAATGCACCCATTGCAGGGTTCCCTGAATGCGCCCATTGCAGGGTTCCCTGAATGCGCCCATTGCAGGGTTCCCTGAATGCGCCCATTGCAGGGTTCCCTGAATGTGCCCATTGCAGGGTTCCCAGGATGCACCCACTGCAGGGTTCCCAGGATGCACCCACTGCAGGGTTCCCAGGATGCACCCACTGCAGGGTTCCCAGGATGCACCCACTGCAGGGTTCCCAGGATGCACCCACTGCAGGGTTTCCCAGGACATGCCAATTGCAGGGTTCCTAGGATGCACCCATTGCAGGGTTCCCTGAATGCACCCATTGCAGGTTCCCTGAATGCGCCCATTGCAGGTTCCCTGAATGTGCCCATTG